TCCAGGCATTGTTATTTTATTAGACTGGAGCTTCATCACAGTGCATTCAATCTAAAAAGATCCCCTGTATAAATGTGTAAGGTTTGCCTTGTTTCTGAAAGGGGACCTATTATGCAAAATTCACTTTTTAAAGTTTTTTTTACTCAACTCTAGGTATGTACTTCTTAAAAAAACAGTCCTAGGACCAAAAAATGCACCCAGGGGCATATTTACTGTAAGTAAATGTATTTTTAATGTATATTAATGACAAGTTTCATACTTCCTACATTTTGTGATGTCACAAGGCGTAAGACAACCCACCAGAACCTGCGTTCAGCCCCTTACCTAGCAACCCCCAGGTGAAGCTCCTCCTCCTCAGTATAAACAGTAAATGCTGGCTTTGGAGGGCGGAGTTAATGTCAACAGATTTTTGGAGGGCGTTACCAACAGAGCTCATTAACATAAACAGCTCTTCTGAACAGAAGTCAGAGCAGACAGAACTATAAAATGGGAAATTTTATTATCTGAGAATTATTTTGTGCATTAAATTGAATGAACATGGTCTGGATAGCCCACAGACATACCATAAAAATTTCTAGGGCCCATAGTTGGTCTCCTTTAATAAGGAGAGTCAAGTCATATTAAAATAATTTWTTTCTGTTATATTAGACATCATTCTCTGACAATAAAGTTGTTCCCCCTTTTTATACCTTTAACTYCAGCACCTGATTTATTTGAGCAAATCCACTATTTTTGAGATGACTTGATGATTTATACGTTTGGATTTTTGCTTCAATGGGTTTTAGAGGATTTTCCACAAAAACAGGACATCAGTCCAAAACAAGTGTCAGGCTGCTTGTTATGACAAACACTTCCATTTCCTATAWTTGAGAAGTGAGTCAGAAACTCATGTTATTATTATAAGAGCATTGACARCTCCACAGTGTGACACACATCACATGATGGTTCAGGCTGTGATGGAAACATCAATCAGAAGAGCTAGGAACTCAAACTCATCAAAGCTTTTATTCAAGAGTGATTCAGTTTTATTTATCTTCTTCCACAGAGTCTCCACAGCCAACACTCTCCACCGCTCAGATTTTATCCATGTTCCCTACACAGCCAGGGGGCTCTCCYTTCACCCCGCCTCCGTATTCTCCCACCGCAGTGCCCTGGGGTCATCAGGGGCTGATGGGAAATCAGTGGGCAGGTCCTTGGCCCTCTGTGCCYGGTGTGCCAGGTGTGCCYGCCTGGGCGCCACCGGGTGTCACAGCACCTCCAGCAGGAGGTCAGCCACAGGCGTGCAGCGTGGCGAGCCCTCAGCCGGGGTTTATGATGGGCGGGGGTCCTGCTGCTTCGCTGGTTCCTAACAGCCCTTTAGAGACCCTTCCTACTGCCACAGGATCAGCTGGTYACCTGGGACCCCCCACCTTTAACAGCCACTCCCTTCTGTGAGGGATAGTGGAAAATGTTTGAAGTTGGTGTAAAAATCTGATCAGCTCTTATTCTTTTCCAGTAAAAGAAACTTTTAACTGAGTTCATAATTCTGTTCATAAGCACCAAAAATCATCTGAATTTGAAAAGCAGATAGATAGATAGATAGATAGATAGATAGATAGATAGATAGATAGATAGATAGATAGATAGATAGATAGATAGATAGATAGATAGATAGATAG